ATGAACGCTTGAAGGTGAGTGACACCTTCACTACTGATGAGCTTATGAAGATGAGTGCCACCTTCACCTGCAAAGTAAATTTTAATTATTTATTATTATAGAACACTCAATTACCTTTATTTAATATAATTTATTGGGTAAATTGGCTATTACGATATTTAAGTATATAATTGTTTGTAAGCTCAATTCCCATTTGAAAGAAACCATTAAATTCCAAGTGATTTTATTTCAGTGTTGTGCTTCCTTTCTTACAGTTTAATATGATAGCAAATATTACTTAAATTAGAAGAATATCTTCAACACTAACATCAGAGTACACTCAAGACATCAGTGTACATTCAAGACAGCAGTGTGCATTCAAGACAGCAGTGTGCATTCAAGACAGCAGTGTGCATTCAAGACATCAGTGTACATTCAAGACAGCAGTGTGCATTCAAGACATCAGGGAGCATTCAAGACAGCAGTGTGCATTCAAGACATCAGTGTACATTCAAGACAGCAGTGTGCATTCAAGGCATCATTGTACATTCAAGGCATCAGCGTACATTCAAAACATCAGTGTATATTCAAGGCATCAGTGTACATTCAAGACAGCAGTGTACATTCAAGACATCAGTGTACATTCAAGACATCAGTGTACATTTGAAACATCAGTGTACATTTGAAACATCAGTGTACATTTGAAACATCAGTGTACATTTGAAACAGCAGTGTACATTTGAAACAGCAGTGTACATTCAAGACATCATTGTACATTCGAGGCATCAGTGTACATTCAAGACATCAGTGTACATTCAAGACATAAACATTTACACTGAGGACAACACCTTACACTGAGGACAACACCGTACACTGAAGACAGTCACACTAACACAGAGATTAGCAGACAAACAGACACACTCATACACACACCGATACACAAACACACAGTTCTGGGAGTACTTAACAGTGGTTTGGGATGCCGTCGGTGGAGATCAATTCTCAACCTACAATCTTCAGCCTCTACCACTCTCCCTTCCCTCTTTATCTCCCCCCCCCCTTCTCTCCTCTCTCTCTCTCTCTCTCCTTCTTCCTCCCACCGTCTCTCCTATATCCCCTCCCCCCCTTCCTGTCCCCCTCCAAGTCTCCAAAGACCTCTGAGGATCTTGTCAACAAGAATTACCTCTGGGGTCGCTTGCCTCCTCCGTATCGCACATTCCCCGCACCTGACCGGAATACTGAACGCCCAGAGGGTGAGAGTGGGATTATTTCTCACGATGCTGAGAGCCCGGGAGAGTTAGATTATAGCAGGATTATCCCAGCGATGCCCAGAGCCGGTGAAGTTGAGATGAGAGAGGGATTAGCCAAATGATGCTGAGTGCCAGAGAGACTGGAAGGAAAGGTAGTGTAATTATTAGGAGAATGGGGCTGTGTCGTCGTGACTATGTAGCACATGGAAGGAGTGGGAGGACAAGGAACTGGGGTGTGAGGACAAGGAGCTGGGGTATGAGGGACAAGGAGCTGGGGTATGAGGACAAGGAGCTGGGGTATGAGGGACAAGGAGCTGGGGTAGGAGGACAGGAAGGAACTGGGGTATGAGGACAAGGAGCTGGGGTGTGAGGACAAGGAGCTGGCGTGTGAGGACAAGGAGCTGGGGTGTGAGGATAAGGAGCTGGGGTGTGAGGACAAGGAGCTGGGGTATGAGGACAAGGAGCTGGGGTGTGAGGACAAGGAGCTGGGGTATGAGGGACAAGGAGCTGGGGTAGGAGGACAAGGAACTGGGGTATGAGGACAAGGAGGCTGTTGTATGAGGACAAGGAGTGGGGTGTGAGGACAAGGAGCTGGGGTGGAGGACAAGGAGCTGGGGTATGAGGACAAGGAGCTGGGGTATGAGGACAAGGAGCTGGGGTATGAGGGACAAGGAGCTGGGATAGGAGGACAAGGAACTGGGGTATGAGGACAAGGAGCTGGAGTGTGAGGACAAGGAGCTGGCGTGTGAGGACAAGGAGCTGGGGTGTGAGGATAAGGAGCTGGGTGTGAGGACAAGGAGCTGGGGTATGAGGACAAGGAGCTGGGGTATGAGGCAAGGAGCTGGGGTATGAGGGACAAGGAGCTGGGGTAGGAGGACAAGGAACTGGGGTATGAGGACAAGGAGCTGGGGTGTGAGGACAAGTAGCTGGGGTGTGAGGACAAGGAACTGGGGTATGAGGACAAGGAGCTGGGGTATGAGGACAAGGAGCTGTTGTATGAGGACAAGGAGCTGGGGTGTGAGGACAAGGAGCTGGGGTGTGAGGACAGGAGCTGGGGTGTGAGGAAAGGAGCTGGGGTATGAGGGACAAGGAGCTGGGGTTTGAGGGACAAGGAGCTGGGGTAGGAGGACAAGGAACTGGGGTATGAGGACAAGGAGCTGGGGTGTGAGGACAAGTAGCTGGGGTGTGAGGACAAGGAGCTGGGGTGTGAGGACTAGGAGCTGGGGTGTGAGGACAAGGAGCTGGGGTGTGAGGACAAGGAGCTGGGGTGTGAGGACAAGGAGCTGGGGAATGAGGACAAGGAGCTAGGGTGTGAGGACAAGGAGCTGGGGTATGAGGACAAGGAGCTGGGGTGTGAGGACAAGGAACTGGGAATGAGGACAAGGAACTGGGGAATGAGGGACAAGGAGTGGGGTGTGAGGACAAGGAGCTGGGGTTGTGAGGACAAGGAACTGGGGTGTGAGGACAAGGAACTGGGGTGTGAGGACAAGGAGCTGGGGGTGAGGACAAGGAATTGAGGGTATGAGGACAAGGAGCTGAGGTGTGAGGACAAGGGAGCTGGGGTTGTGAGGACAAGGAGCTGGGGAATGAGGACAAGGAACTGGGGTGTGAGGACAAGGAACTGGGGTATGAGGACAAGGAGCTGGGGTGTGAGGACAAGGAACTGGGGTGTGAGGACAAGGAACTGGGGTATGAGGACAAGGAGCTGATGTCAACAGAAGTTACTGAAGAAGACCGTACTGGAGGGGGGCACTACGGGAAGAGAGGGATATGGGACAGACTAAGAGCTGGGATATGAGGACAAGGTGAATACCTGTGTTGCAGATTATTTGAGTAAATCTCTACATGCCCAACCTACTGACGCCCGACGAAAGCTAAAGATTGTGATGCACCTATGAGAAAAGTATTGAGGCATTGCTAAGGGATCGAACCCTTGTCGCTGGACACCCCATGCACACACACGCACTGCGAACTGGACCATGGGTTGTAATTTCGGACGGTGCCTTCCAAACTCGAAGTCTGGTAATAGTTCTGCCTAAGATACTTTCAGCTCATCCTGGTCCAGTCGGTAGTGTGTGTATTTGGGAAGTCCAGGACGCTAGTTCGATCCCATTGAACTGCCGCATTATTAACTCAACTTTCTGATGTCGTCATCCCTGACTGTGTAGAAATTAGATTGTTTAAACACTATACAAACTACAAGAACTATTGAATAGAACTTTTGCATTGTGTTTCTGTCAATGTCTCGTGAACAGGATTTTGACTTAGTGATATAGCGACATACGTAGTATATCTGAGTATATACTCTGGATATACGTAGTATATATGTAGTAGTATAACAGTTGTGCTGGCCTCGGTCCCTCTCACACAGAGTGACTCTGGTAATCTGTTAACAGCTCTTATAAGCTGGCATATACGTACGAGTCTCTAGACTATTGGGAAGCAATCATACTGATGTCTGCCACAGGTGTAGGACCATTACTAACCCAAGCTGATGTCTCCCACAGGTGTAGGGCCATTACTAACCCAAGCTGATGTCTCCCACAGGTGTAAGGCCATTACTAACCCAAGCTGACGTCTGCCACAGGTGTAGGACCATTACTAACCCAAGCTGATGTCTCCCACAGGTGTAGGACTATTACTAACCCAAGCTGATGTCTCCCACAGGTGTAGGACCATTACTAACCCAAGCTGATGTCTGCCACAGGTGTAGGACCATTACTAACCCAAGCTGATGTCTCCCACAGGTGTAGGGCCATTACTAACCCAAGCTGATGTCTGCCACAGGTGTAGGGCCATTACTAACCCAAGCTTGATGTCTGCCACAGGTGTGGGACCACTACTAACCCAAGCTTGACGTCTGCCACAGGTGTAGGACCATCACTAACCCAAGCTGATGTCTCCCACAGGTGTAGGACCATCACTAACCCAAGCTTGATGTCTGCCACAGGTGTAGGACCATCACTAACCCAAGCTGATGTCTCCCACAGGTGTAGGACCATCACTAACCCATGCTTGATGTCTCCCACAGTTTTAGGACCATTACTAACCCAAGCTGATGTATCCCACAGGTGTAGGACCACTACTAACCCATGCTTGATGTCTCCCACAGGTGTAGGACCATCACTAACCCAAGCTTGATGTCTGCCACAGGTGTAGAACCCTCACTAACCCAAGCTGATGTATCCCACAGGTGTAGGACCACTACTAACCCATGCTTGATGTCTGCCACAGGTGTAGGACCCTCACTAAACCCAAGCTTAATGTCTGCCACAGGTGCGGGCGTGGAAGACGGGCGCGGTGTGGGCGTGGGACCTGGTGATTGACGACACTACCCTGGAGGACTCTGGTGTCTATGAGTGCCAAGTCAACACGAGGCCCAAGATGTCCCATCCAGTTACTCTCCACGTGTACTGTTAGTACCTTAACCCACTCCTGGTCCCTGGAGTGAACACTGATCACTAGGGAGTCTTGGTGTTCAGTGTGAACTGTAATCTCATACCTAGTGTTCAATGTTCACTGTGATCACTCCCTAGTGTTCAGTGTTCATTGTGATCACTACCTAGTGTTCAGTGTTCATTGTGATCACTACCTAGTGTTCAGTGTTCATTGTGATCACTACCTAGTGTTCAGTGTTCATTGTGATCACTACCTAGTGTTCAGTGTTCATTGTGATCACTCCCTAGTGTTCAGTGTTCATTGTGATCACTCCTAGTGTTCAGTGTTCATTGTGATCACTACCTAGTGTTCAGTGTTCAGGATCCTCCTTTG